CTTGACTCTTAGAGTAATCATATAAATACCTCTGTGCAGAAATGGGGTACTATTGTGCTTCTTGGTTAGAGGTTTGAACAGAATCTTAAGGCTAAGTGGTGCTTGTTCATTACTTGATGACATGTATTGATGAGGTGAACAAATTCTGCTAAAAAGCATTGATTGAGGTGATACAGACCTTTTGTTCAGGATGTTGGATTGTTGAAGGCTCGTTCATGTATGCAAGTCACCAAGCAACACCTGTGCATACATGATGTCATCATGTTCCCTGATACATCTCCAACCCCCCGCCCCACAAAACAAAACAATCTTGTCGTACTTTGAAGGGAAGCACATTTATTATGGTGTAAACTTGAACAGTTTGGGCAGTAGTTCTGCTAACAGACCTACCCATCTGTAGTCAGCTGTACGAAAACTGCATGCATGACTTATGTGCTGCCTCAATTTGCTGAGGTGCCTATTGTCTTCATCAAGAGCAAACCCAAAGGGCTAAATAGCAAAGCATTACTAGTTTATCTTTGTAGGAGTTACCGACCAGTTAGAGCCCAGGCTTTTAAGCCTTAGGTTGCAAAATCTAGACACCAGCCTACATCCCCCAAACGCTAAACTTTCCCGTAGAACGGCACTTGGACTTGCAGTAACTGCACTGTGGGACAAGGCACTGCCATGACCCCTAGGTGGTACATGAGAAATTAAGCCACAGGAACAATGTTCAGTATCTGCCTCATATATGTTTTAAGGGACAGTTTTTAACTTGAGCGGCCAGCTCTTGGGTACAGTTGCTCTGAAACGACCTACCTGAATGTACACTAGCACGCAAGTGTGCCTAGAACTCTTAACAGCGAATGGGCCAACGGAAAGGCGAGTTCCCGCTCTGTCTCCTTATTCCTTGGTGGGGGAGGCAGCTGTTCTTCCCTCCTCCCCCACCGTTGAATTCCCGCCGCCATCCCCGTCAGCTGAGAAGAGAACATTCTCTTCGTTCTATCCTCCCCCGCCCTTCTCACTTAAAGCAGTCATGTGAGAGGGAAGACCGTATTCGGGGGCCGTTGATTGGCTCGCAGTTCCTCAGCGTCTGATTGGTCGCGTTCGCTTCCTCGCTTTCTGCCGGCTCTTGGCTTTGCACTTTCCCCTCCCCCGCCCCCTTTTTTAAAAAGAGAGCCCACGTGATGGGGGCGAGTCACGCGATTTCCGGGAACCCGTCAGGAAGGGACATAAACAAAACAAACCCCAGAGCGGCATGGAGGGGCCGGGTCCTGGCTGTAACCTCAGCCGAAGCGGGGCCCCGAACTGAGACACCCCCCACCCCACACTGGGCTGGGGCGTTAGGTAAGAGACTGAGGGGCGGGGCTAGAACGGCTGAAGCCCCCAGAGGGGGGCCAAGCACGGGAGCAAGAGCTCGAGGGGGCTCTTCAGCGTGGGAGCGAGGGGGGTAAGTAGTTCCACAGTGCCTGAAGCACTTCGTGCTGTGAAGTCCCTGGCTGGGAACGGTGGAGGCCGCAGCCTTTTTCTTGGACGGGGAGGGGGTGGTGGGTGCTCTCCTCTGCTGTCGGGTAGGGAGGGTTGCCTTGTCTCGCCTCTGGAGGGGCATCGTCGAGGGTGGAAGTTCCTGCAGTCGTATCGGGAGAGAAAGAGTTGTGTTAAAAATAAAGAAGCGAGAGCTGCTGGTTCTTCTGCAGCACAGATTGCTTCGAAAGGGGGCGTGGAGGCAGCTGCAGCAGGGACTGTTGGTAAAAGGGCTTGAGCGGATACGGAGGTAGATGCAGCCGAGTAAGAAGGATTTGTGTGGGGTTTTGTTATAATCACTGCGGTGAATTGTGTGGTTGGTGTTCAGAAACAGTGCTGGTTTATTTTAGCCTTTTGCCCCGGCAAGGGAAGGGGCATTGAAGAAAGGGGCGTGTGCTGGATATGCTTTGCCTGAGACTGCAGAGGAGCATGGGAAAGGAGGGGATCTTGGAAATATTGGGTGGTGGTTATTTTTTCTGAGCAAGGTGTACATCTTTTCCTGTACATCGGTACCTTGCTTTTGCCCTTTTGCGCCCTAATGCCCTAGTTTAATCGCCTGTCTCAGAAGTTGGGGCTTGTAGCAAAGTGGGCGGTGAGAAAGAAGCGGTTGTTTGCATTGTACCCTGTTTGTACTCCGTTCTTGCAGGCTTCTACATAATTTTTCTCTTTTTTGTTAGCATCTGTTTTTTTGTGTGTAGAGGAGAATTTAAAACGTGATGAGTAGGCAATGGGATCTTTTGTTATGCAGTTCTTTCTGCTCAAAGGCTTCTTCATCAGTATGCTGTGGGTTATGTGTTATGGGTAAGGGTTCCCCAGCTGTTTGTTGTAAAACGAATTGTTAGTGATGCAACGCTACTGAATAGCCGGAAAGATGCCGAGTGGGGCAAACTCTCGAAGACGTTTCGCTGCATTAGGTTATTTTACGGCCGAAGGCTCCCCCTGCTTTCATTTTGTTGCACACTTCGGGAATGAACTGAAAAATCTGGTGGGGTTGGCTGGGTCTGGACACTCCCATGTCAAGCTGTAGGAAGGAAGCGAAGAACCAAAGTAAGTGGCATGAGGACCCAGCAGGAGAGGTGTTGGCAGGAAAAGAAGAAAATCGACGAGCCTGTTCAGTGATCTGCTGTGGCTGGGTGGGGTTCGAGAGGAATCCTTAAGAGTCGGTGCACTGGCTGGATCAAGGTGGCATTAGGTTGATTATTAACGGAGACGGAATATCAGACTCTCCAGGTCCCCCTGTTCCGTTCGGGGGATACCCGTTGCTTAAGTAACTGCCTTACATCTCTCCAGCCTTATTTCCCACTCTTCTTCCTCCGCCGGCCGCATAACAGGTCACGTCTGTCTTTTCCCTTAAAAAAAGGTGATGGGTCACGTGCTTAACGAATGTCGAAAGGCTCTTTCTAATCAAGCGCGGGAGGTTTCTCTTTTCCGGCGCTTCTCTACGCCCTTGGCTTGGGGGATGGGCGTGGGCCGAACAACCCGGCTGAGTTCGGAACCTCTAGAAAGTGATTTGTTTACATGTCGCCTCAACCTAGCTTCGGAGGGCGGAGCGGAACAGAAAGAGAGACAGCGAAGGCGTTCAATAGGAGCCGGCGTCGGAGTTGGAAACGCCAATACGATAAGGAAAGGGGCGGGAATAAGAGTGACAGCAAACTACGTTGTACTTCAGTGCTGTTGTGGGGCAGCCATGTTGGATGGGAGGTGTGTTAGTGGGTCAGACTAGTGGGGGGCGGGAGTGGTACGGTCCAAACCCCGAGGAGGTCGAAGGGAAGCTGATGTTCGAGGGGCGGGTGTCTGGGAATATGAAGGAGCAGGTTTCTTCCTCTATGATGGATGGAAGCATTGGACAGTGTTCCGTTTGGGTAGCATGAAGGAAGCAACCTCTGCCGGTGTTCTTCGATCCAGTGATACTTTCGTGGCAGTGCAACAAAACAACAAACCCATGCCAAAGTACGGAAGGACAGACATGTGAACACTGTGGGGTCCAAATTG